ATGTGCCATGGAGTCATTTGCGACTCATAGCGACCCTATGTACAACAGCCCTAAACCCTGCTCTATCCTGTGCCAATCTCATTGCCTCTGACACACCCATTCTGATTACCCCAGTCACCGAATCAATCCACCTAATAGAGGGTCTTCCCCTCCTGCGCTGTCCCTCTACCCTACCAAGAATGATGTCCCTCTCCAAGGACCTGTCTCTCCTTACAACATGTTCAAAGTATGTCAGATGAAGCCCCAGAATCCTTGACTCCAAGGAGTAGTCTGGTTTAACCCTCTCTAGGGTAAATCTGTTTGTTTTCTTGGCAGTCCAGGGTACATTCAATACTTTTCTATAGAAAGTGAAATTGTCCTTTTAACTATTTTATTTATTAGTTATTTTTAATTACTTTCAATGACTTCATTCTACTTGGATTCACAATCAATGCACTCGATACCAGTAGCCAGGAGATCACTAGACATATTGTACTGAAAAACTCTGCAGTCAGAGAGCTCTCCAAATTACCGAGGAACAATTATGTTAGTTTGACAACTAAGGTTCACCTGATTCAGGCCACGGTCTTTTTATTTATATGTTATTAATCTGAGAGCTGGACAGTAAATAAGGACAATGGAAGAAAAAGTGATGCCTTTGAATTGTGATTTAGAGAAGAGTACTGAAAATTCCATGGATCATCAAAAGAACAAACAGATATGTCTAGGAGAAGACATAGAAGAAGTGCTTCTTGAAGGCAAGAATGGTGAAGCTTCATCTCACATACTTGCACATGTTGCGAGAGGGGATGCTAATCCTTGAAGAAGCACATCATGCTTGGAAATGTGGAGGTTGGTGAAGGAGAGAAAGACTCTCATCTAGCTGAATTTACACAATAACTTCAGCAATGGGCTAGAATGTGTCAGAGATTGTGACAAGATAAGACAGGGTTCATATTTGTTGTTCATAGGGTTACTATAAGTCATACTTGACTTGATGGTGCTCAATAACACAACTTGAAAGCAATGAGAGAAAGAGAAAGACTATTAAATTAAGTAGCCTTAAATAGGAGGCTTTAATATATTTTGCAATGTTTTCTTTTTCACATTGTGAAAATTCAACAGAGAATTAATTCATAACTGTAGGTACAATAGAATTTTCTGATTTGCTGAGCAGAATACCTAAAAAGCAGCAATGGATATGAAAGCAACCAAGCATGGGTATATCTCTATTCAGCTCAGCAGGCAACTTTTCCTTCTCTTCCTCTTTCGAATCCAACAAAGCTAAAATGCATTGTAACATCATAATTATTTCCATTAGCCAAAGGATAATGTATAATCAGCACACCTCTTTTTTTTTATTTGAAAAGCATAAGTTCTATTTGGATAAACCATTGCCATATCTTGAATTTTACGTGTCATTATTTATTATTGGTTATGGTGATTAGACAGTACATACATAGTGGAAGTTAATGGAAAATGGAAGTATAATTTTGTCTCTTATTCAGCTTATTTATTCAGTGACCAAATCATTCTATTGAATACCTACAATGTAAAACATAACATGACACTTCTTGAATAAATATGAACATGATTTTTCATTTGTACCTTAAACAGCAAACCAAAGCAAAAGGAAAATGGAACAAATAAGAACACTGCCACTGAGTTATTTTCAATGCATGGCCAGCCTCCATCAGGTCATCTTTCTCTCATGGACCACATAGTGATGGGTTATAATCACCAGCCATTTAGTTTGTAGTCCAAGATATAACATAATATCCCATGAGCAACAAATATCTCCTTTCGTAGGAAAGCTCTATCTGTGGGGAGTTGTTTTCACTTCCTGCTATGACAAGAACATATTTGTTTTTACATATTTTATCCTCCCACTCCCAATCCAGTTAAACATTATAAATTAAGATTTAGACACCACTGGGAAAGTTAATGGAAAAGTGGATTTTGGAGTACAGTCATCTGGTATTGAATGTACATTGGGTCATATACTGATTTGAAAATCTTGGACAAGTAACTGAATTCTAACCACTAATTTATACTGCTTTTCCATAAGTGTGTTATAGGATTACTGTGAAGGATGAATGCATGTAAAACTGTTGTTGTTGTTGTTATGTGCCATCGAGGTGCTTGAGACTCATAGCGACCCTAGGTACAACAGCCCTAAACTCTGCTCTGTCCTGTGCCAAATCGCACTGTCTCTGACACTCCCATCCCGATTACCCCAGTCACTGAATCAATCCACTTCATAGAGGGCCTTCCCCTCCTGTGCTGTACCTCCACCCTCCCAAGAATGATTTCCTTCTCCAAGGACCGGTCTCTCCTCACAACATGTCCAAAGTATATTAGACGGAGCCTCAGAATCCTTGCCTCCAAGGAGCCACCCGGTTTAACCCTTTCCAGGACAAATCTGTTTGTTTTCCTAGCAGTCTATGGTATTCTCAATACTCTTTCCCAGCACCACAGCTCAAAGGCATCAATTCTCCTTCTATCCTCCTTGGTCATTGTCTAACTCTCTGATGCGTAACAAGTAACTGCGAAGACCATGGCTTGTATCAGATGCACCTTAGTCTCCAGAGAGACACCATTGCCCTTCAGTACTTTGGAGAGGTACCTAACAGCACACTTTGCCATGGCAATGTGCCTTTTAATTTCCTGGCTGCTGGTGCCAAGACTGTTGACTATGGAGCCAAGCACACTAAAGCTGTGTACAATCTCAATCTCTTCACCATCCATCCTGATGCTGCCAATTGGTCTAGTGGTGAGAATCTTTGTCTTTTTTGTCTTCAATCCATATTGGAGGCTGCAGTCCTTGACCCTCTGCAGCAGGTGCTTCAGGTCCTCTTCAGTTTCAGCAAGTAGGGTTGTGTTATCTGCATAACACAGATTGTTGATAAATCGTCCACCAATCTTGACCCCACATTTCTCCTCATAGAGCCCAGCCTCCCGGATAATCTGTTCTGCATATAGGCTGAAAAGGTATGGAGATAGGATGCATCCCTGGCATACGCCCTTCCCAATTTTGAACCATGCAGTGTTCCCTTGCTCTGTTCTGACGACTGCCTCCTGGTCCAAGTATAGGTTTCGCATTAGAACGATCAAGTGTTCTGGGATTCCCATTCTTCTCAGAGTCAGCCATAGTTTGTTATGATCCACATAGTCAAATGCCTTTGCATAGTCAATGAAACACATATAGACATTCCTCTGGTATTCCCTGCATTCAGCTAAGATTTTCTAATATATGAAGCATAATAAAATCCAAGTCACTGTTGCTATCGCTATCTGAACAGAACCCTGGTGGTTTGGTGGTAAGGAATTACACTGCCAATGCAGACATAAATGATTCAAAAGGTTTGAATCTGTCATCTACTCCAAGAGAGAAAGTCAATTTTCTTTCATGTGATTTACTGCCTCTGAAAACTCACTGGAAAGTTAGGTATGGGTCATTCTGGCTCTGCAGTAAACGACATAGCTATCTGAAGATATTTGGTTATTTTTCAAATACTGCCAATTTTTTTAAAGATAATAAGTTAATGCTAAATTTTCTTATTCACACTTAATACTTTTGTAAATGTACTAGGAAAAGTTTGAAAAGTCTTCTCAAATTAATACAAATAACCAGCAGATTAGTCTAGCTAAACATCAAGAAACTTGGACTGTCCCTATTCTCACATATAGCTTTCAGAAAGAGTTGTATCAATTCCTTACCTGTAATATAAACATGTACCCAATTGCTACTAAATTATAGCAATTACTTAGTAATGCTAATACACCTGGAGAGAGAGAAAGATATTATTAAGAGTGATGTCCTAATAGATAAAACTCTATAATCCAAGCTGTTGTCTTCCGCTTTTAAAGAAGCATTAGGCAATCCAAAGTCAGAGAGAGAGATTAATAAGCTCCAGGAAGTTGTTATTTTCTCATTATTTTTTCATTTGAAGTGAATAGGAAAATACAGATACTACAAATTATGAATGATTAGAAGTTTCTGCTAATGCTCTGTACATATATTTGTTTTATTTAAATAAAATGTGTTCAGGGAATATATTGTTTAGTAGGAAGGTAGACTAACACTGTTATTGTTATTGATTGCTGTCAAGTTGAGCATGACTCATAGCGACCCTATGAACAAAAGGTCTGAAGCCTTTCTATAATTATCGTCATTTATCAAAGTTCAAGTAGTTTCCAGAGGCATGTTGATTAGGAAGTGGATGCCTCTCCTGCTTCCAGAATAACACTAGAACTCACCTTTTGTGACTCCAAACATCATTGAGTCTCCAAACGTCATTATTGTTGTTAGAGTACCTTACATAGTTATGTGTCAACTATAACTATACAGTGTAATCAGCAAACTAAGAATCCTTCATTCTTTTTTCTCTCTCAAATATCACTGATTAAATGGGATTGGAAGAAAAAAGAGCATGGGGCTATAGCTAAAAGTTGATAATTCTGAACTGCCAGTGATAGCATTAATAATTTAAGTATATTATTTAGAATATTAGATCCATATTGTAGTTTAAAAGGGCAAAGTAAAAGTGAAAAATAGTTACTTTGTCTCCCACTGGAACTCTGCTTCTAAAATGAAATAGAAAGTGATGATAATTTGGGAAAAAAAATAAAACATAAAAACTGACTAAACAGAGCACATTCTTAACAGTGCTATTTTACAAGAATGGTGTTGTATTGCCATCCACATAATGAACAGTTTTTCTTATTGTCAAGGGTAAAAAAAATACCGTAACCAAAAAAACGGATTCAAATGCTTTTTTTTAAACTACAGTGCAGAAGTCAATGTTCTATACTCACTTATTAGATTCCCAAAATAAGTAATCATTAGTAAGTAAGGAAACAGAGGCTAATATTTTACAAATGACAAAGAACCAAATTTCCCACCATCTAGTGAAGATACTGAGTTATGTAAGGAACACTCATCCACCATCATCCAGTAAATTTCAACTCCTAACAGCCATGAGGGACACGCAGTGCCTCACAGTGTTCCCAAGGCTGTATCTTTATAGAGAAAGACTACTTCATTTTCTCCCCCCAGAAAGTGACTGATATCTTAAAAATTGTTGACCCTTTGGTTAGGAGCTAGTTGCACTGCCAACCAGGTCTCTTTATAGATTGCCATTGTTGTTATGTGCTGTAGAGTTGTTTGCGACTCATAGTGGCCCTGTGTATAACAGCCCTAAACTCTGCTCTATCCTGCGCCAATCTCATCATCTCTGACACATTTACCCCCATTATCCCAGTCACTGAACCAACTCATCTCATTGAGTGTCTTTCTCTCTTGAGCTGTCCCTCCACCCTCCCAAGAATGATGCCCCTCTCCATGGACTGGTCCCTCCTTGCAACATGTCCAAAGTACGTCAGACAAAGCTTCAGAATCCTTAAAGTAATAAAGAATTAAATTTGGCAATATTTAATAGTGAGCGTTAATAGAGGGTTAAATTAAAAAGTCTAATATTTCCATCTCAAAATGGCACTTCCTAATTAAAGGTTTTGTTAGAGAATAAAACATTTGTTGTTTGTTTATGGAAGTCAAACTTACATGATGGTCAATGACTTTTGTCAATTGTTTATCAGCTCTGGTGAAAAAGTCTGGATATGGAACCAGGGGAAGCTGAAGCTTAGAAGGATGCTCCCTTCAAAAAAAGCACAAAAAAAGATACAACATTAAGAATAGGGTTTAATCCTCCTAAATTATAGCTATAATTTGTAAGATCAAATTAATCCTTAAGCATTTTGATTCTATGGTGTTAATATATTTAACCTTGTGTAGACTACTGTATATTAGCTATTAGTTTCCATTATGAAATGGACCTTTTTAGTATGCTGTTGTTGTTATTTGCTGTCGAGTCACCTGCAAACCATAGCAACCCAATGTACAGCATCTCTAAACTTTGCCCTGTCCTGAACCACTCTCTCTTATTCTGACACACCAACCTCCATTGTTCCAGTTACTATATCAATCCATCTCATCCAGGATCCTTCTCTTCTGCGCTGTCCCTCCACCCTTCCAAGCATGATGTTTTTTTCCAAGGACTGGTCTCTCTTTGTTACATGCCCTGAGCTTCAAAATCCTACCTTCCAAAGAGAAACTTGGTTTCACACTCTCTAAGACAGACCTACTTGTTTTCTTGGTGGTCCATGGTAGGTGGTCCAGCACCACAATTTGAAGGCATCCTTCTTCTGCATCCTTAATAATTGGCCAGTTCTCTGATGCATAGCAAGTAATTGCTAAGACCATGGTCTGGATTAGGCGCACATTAATCTCTAGACCAACATTGTCACTTTAAGTACTCTGGAGAGGTCCCTGATGTTACATTTTCCCAATGCAATTCATCTTTTGATTTACTGACTGCTGATGCTAATAGTGTTGATTGTGGAGAGCAAGCTGTCATTGTTAACAACCTCAGTCTCTTCTCCATCTATCATGGTGCTGCAATTGGTCCAGTAGTGAGAGTCTTTGTCTTGTTAATATTGAGCTTCAATCCATATTGCAGTCTTTGACCTTCTGCAGCAAGATCTTCAAGTCCTCAGTTTCAGCAAGCAGGTTAGTATCATTTGCATAACATAGATGGTTAATAAGTCTTCCTCCATCCTGATGCCACAGTCCTCCTCATAAAGCCCTGCTCCCTGATTGCTCTGTTCTGCATATAGATTGAAAAGATAGGGAAACAGGATGCATCTCTGATGCACTCCTTTCCTGATTTTTAGCCATACAGTGTTTCCCTGCTTTGTTCTGTTTTTAGTTTTAAGAATGATATACAGGATGATAGCTAGAAAACAATAGAAGACAATTATTTTCAAGGAGTTAGTAAGAGTAGTAAATTAAATATTAAAATGTAAAAAGAAAGCCTTGGTAGGATAGGTCTAATGGAGAGATGAAAGTGTCATTCCTCACATACAAACCAACAAATTCCTGGTGCAAACCTAGACCCCAAAATGTAAATTAAGATGTGTTAAAGAAATGTGATTTCAACCTCCATAATTTTTGTTACTAAGGATGGAATTGTGATGCTAATCAGTAGCAACTTAAGGAGACTGGTAATGCAGAGTTGGGATACAAAAAAGCAGAAATTTAGGGTTAATTTTTCCACATAACAATGATATTATAGTTGATGGGAAAAGAATTGTGAAACTAGGGATATATAAACGTAGAATGACAGCAGAGAATTATTTTAAAGATTATTGTTTTGGGTGTCATCTAATCACATGTGACTCAGCAACCCTATGGACAAATGATCTGAAACCTATCCTTTCTGTGCCATCTTCACAATTAATGAAACTTGAGCCCATTGCTGCATTTACTCTATCAGTCTACCTGGCTGACGGTCTTCCTTTATTTTCCCTCCACCTTCTCACGATGTCCTTCTCTAAAGAATAGTTTCACTGTCATCTTTACTGGCCAGCTCTCAGATGCCTAGCAGCTAATTGGACAAAACTTGGACTGAGTCAGGCACACCTTAATCTTGAAACTGACATCATTAGTCTTCAGGACATTGGAGAAGTTCCTGACTGCGGACTTTTCCCAGTGCAAAAAGTTTCCTGATCTCCTGACCGCCAGTACCAGGGTGCTGGCTGTGGATCCAAGTAAGATGAAATTGTTGACCCACTTCAATCTTTACTCCATTTAACATGACATTGCCTATTGGCTCATTGGTGAGGACTTTTGTTTTCCTGATGTCGAGATGTAACAAATATTGAAGGTTAAAGTCTTTGATCTTCTACCTCAAGCTCTTATCAGTATAGCACTTGTCTGTCAGTTTCCTATACTGGGGTTAGTTATAGGCTGTGGTGATGTTGGGTGTTATATCATCAGTGTTTCAAATGCCAGTAGGGTCACCTATGGCACACCATAGGGAGCTTTCAGCAAAGCTCCCAGTTTAAGAGAGATGGGAAGCAGGATTGGTCATTCACTTCTGAAGACCTTTGAAAAATCACCATGACCAAGTGGGATTCATAGCAGGTATGCA